AAGAGAGAAGGGATAACCACAGTTCTGTAGACTTTCAGCTTTGTGGAGATATGGATGTTGTGTTGATTGAGCACTCTAGTACGCAGCTGCCCCAGTGCCTGGATGGCCTTGCTGATCCTGGAGTCAATTTATTTGTCCAAAGATCCATCACTCGAAATGATGGTTCCCAAGTATTTGAATCTGTTTACATTTGTCAGCTGGGTGTCGTCAACAGTGATTTTTGGTTCTACGAGGTTGGTATTTGGCACAGGCTGGTAAAATACTTCAGTCTTTTTCAGGCTGATAGTCAGGCTGAAGAGCACAGCAGCACCTGAGAATTTGTTCAGCATCAACTGTATATCGCTGTCTTTGTGCACTAGGAGCGCACAGTCATCAGCAAAGAGGGTTTCTTGGATGACTGTATGGAGTCACTTCATTTGTGCATTCAAGCAGCGAAGGTCAAAGGGATAGCCATCCAATTAGTACCTGATGTACACTCCCTCCTTCAGATCCTGGGCAGCCCATAACAACATGCAAGCAAAGAACAGATTGAACAGGACTGGGGCTAGTGCACACCCGTTTTACCCCATTGGAAATGGCAAATGCAACTGATCTATCACCACTGCAAAGAACCTGTCCTGTCATTCCGCCATGGGGCAGCTGAATCAACTTCACAAATTTCTTCGGGCATCCATAACGTCTCAGGATGACCCAGAGAGCCTCCCTGTTTACTGTGTCAAATGGCTTTGTCAGGTCAATGAAGACATGGTAAAGAGGCTTGTTCTGCTCAATGCACTTCTCCTGAACTTGCCTCATGACAAATATCATGTCTGCTGTACTCCATTCTGGCTAAAAGCCATGCTGGGTCTCTGGGAGGTTCCTTTCTGAGACAGTGACAAATCTGTTCAGGAGAATGTGGGCAAAGATCTTGCCTGCAATGGACAGCAGAGAGATACTCCTGTAGTTTCTGCAGTCTGATCTGCTTCCCTTACAAGAGAGTGGGACTGCCCCTGTGCAATAGCTGTTCCACTTAAAACTACATCACGCATAGGTTTCTATTGTGCAATTCACTTTCATCTACAACTTGTCTGCACATCATCTCAGTCCAAACTTAATTCATTGAGCCCTGTGGTGATGGGGGAGTGGTGAAGCAACAGGTGGAGATGACCACGGGCAGTTATAGTCACAAACCTGTACGGAGGTGGCCCTTGGACCAGTGGTTGCTCGTCTCAGAACCTGGGGCAGCAGAGATGTCTGGCAGCATCCAGGATGACTGGGCAGCCCTTCTAGGATAGCACTGCCCACCCTTGCATGAGGGA